ATATTATCTAGATATTTTGTTTCTATTTTATTATATATATATATATTTTTGTTATTTATTACTTTTACTCGAATGTGCAATTTATGTATATTTTTTTCTCATACCATAATTATAATTAAGTATTGTTTGTTTATGGTTAAGAATATTTGAATACTTTTAAACGCTCTGACGATTTGTGCAAATTAATTGAAATTTCAGGCATGTTCCACACTGGAGCAATGATTTCAACCCATGATCCAAATACCTATACAGTGAAACCTCGCTTAACGAGCAAGATAAATTGTAAGAAAAAATGACTGCAAAATGTAACGCATTATTACATTAGTTTGTATGGGGAAAATTGTTTCAGTATACGAGTGAAAATCCGGAAATTTTCGAACGGATTATGCTCGTTAAGCGAGGTTCCACTGTTATTGTTTCATGGTGTCAACCAGTTGCTATAGCAATAAAAGAAATGAAACAGTTTGTCTCTTGTATACAAATATAGTATGAAACATGCTTGAATTACTGTTACCTAGCAACGATCGCCAGGGAGTGCAAAGAAATGTAACCAATAGCCAGTTTGATTGGGCCAGTAAATAATTATTATTCCATTTATCATTACTTAGTTCCGAACTATTTCTTAGTGAGATCTCTTTATTATAATCGAAAAGTACCTATTATTATTATTATTAGAAAACAAGATGTATATTATTATTATATTTACTCTAAGAGTCTTTGAAGCTAAGATGTTTGTTGTTTTCTTTTTGAAAGCAAAAAAAAAAGACAATTGTTATATTGTATATAAACACATATATAGATATATATTTTTTACAATATTTATTAATGTTATTGATTAGATAGAATTATTGGAAAGGTTTATAACAGCAACAAAAAAAAAAGAAATATATACAGAAAGGCAATTTATTTAAAACCTTTTATTTGCATTTGAAAATTCTTTATTTATCTTAAGTGTTGGTAAAAAAAAAAATTTGAAGACGCGTGCTTAATCCCATTTCTTGAATTCAGTACCATCCGGCGGTTTAACTTCAACTTTCTTTGAACCGATTTCACTCCAGTTTGTGCTCAAGACAGTTCCACCCGATTCCATCTGCAAGAAATTATGTAATATTAGTATGTTTCTTGAATCAATATCCGTATCTCATCTTATTAATCCATTGAATCTAATTTTTGAATGTACTTAAAGTTACTACAAAACAACAAACCATTAATTTGTGTTTATCCAATAAGAATTAGGATTTGATTCCTTATACATGAAATTGTTATTAAGTGGGCCTTGAATAGTAAATAACACTTTTTTTTAAGTGCATATATAAATACCACTACTTACAAAGCTCTTATTCATGGCTTTCTTAACCTCATCACTTCCTTTTCCATATATTTCTTGGAACAATTTGTTCAGGGCTTCCTCTCCCTCAGGCTTCTCCTTCGCTTCCTGCTCATCAAGTTCCTTCTCAATTGCAGTCCAGTTAGTTCCTTTTGATGTAGGATACGCTGGTGGTTTATCAAAGTCATTATCTAAAATAGAACTGATTAACATAAAAATCTATTAAATTTCACTTTATCCTCACATACTTATTGCAATTGTCTTGGGTGTGTCAACTGTTGGATCTCCCTCAAGCTTAGCCCAACGGATTCCATCAATTTTCTTCAGTTTAATTTCAACCTTGAATACGTCCAAATAAATAAATGTATTGAATTCTTAGTGGAATTTGTTACCTTTGTTGACATAATTTTGTAGCTTCCAGCGCTAGGGTCAACATGATGGGCCAATTGGTATGTAAGACATTCTTTCATTCCATTTACTTGCAATTCCACTTCCAACACACTTTCCCCAAAAGTAATTTTAACATCTTCATCCTTCAAATTTTTGACTAGTATTGTTATAACAACAGCTACCTCCGTTTGATACCAATCTGTTTTTATGCTGCTCCCTGTTGCCTATTGCATCGAGAATTTAATCATTTGCTTTGAAAGATATATCAATAACCTTACCATAATTGCTTTAAGTCTTGAATTCTCAATGATTCTGGATATTTGGTCGAATTGTGGTTATTTCCATGACAACAGACTGAAGTTGTGCACAGATTGCTTTTGAAATTCATCCATATAAAAGTACAAAATTTAACAAAATCTATTTCTTATTAGAAAAGACAATCTTTTATACATTTTTTTTGAATGATATTAACAATTTTATAATACATTAGATTAATTCAATGACAACAATTATGCTTATTATTAACTTGAACCATAATAAATTTGTATAGCATTATATTATACAATTTTTATAAAATACACTTATTTATTATTAATATTATTTTTCAAGATTAAAGCTATTTACCAAAGACAATTAAAAATAAACTGAAAATAACTGTTCCAATAAGTATTTCTGTTACTGGAATATGAGAACCTTTATTATTAATATCATCAGAAGCACTTGATTCTTTACTAGTAAGTCCTCCATCCAAAACTTCTTTAGTGTTAGAAGTATATGCTTTTACAGTGTCTGATAGTTTCTTAAAATCATCTTGAGCTTTGTTGCCCATTATTGTAACTTTATTGGAATTTACTTCCATTTTTTCAATATTCTCCTCCAACCTTCTCACAATTGGCTCCAACTCAATGGTCATATTCTTTTTGATGACCTTCTTTATATCATCACTGCGAATACTTGAGTAAAGAAATGTCAAGAAGCTTCCTGTGAATGAAATCAAGATACCAAAATACTTTGTGTTTTCTATTTGTGCCCTCTGCTTTTCATGTGCATTATGTATGGCGCTTGTAAAAGCACTGCACACATCCCTTTCACATCTCTCTTGATCGTTCAACAGCTTCGTCAATTCCTGCTCAGTTTTCATGTTTTCAGTTTCCTCTCTGAGCAGTTTCATGTATTTTTCAAAATTATTCTGCCTATTGGTTTTCTGCAAATCATCCTGGATCACATGAGACTTGTCTCTGATTGCTTGCAAATTTTGTCCAATTGTTCTACGAGCTTCTTGAATTGTAAACAGTCTTTCCTATGGGACCAAAAAAAAAAATTATTAAAATAAATTGATATTATTGATAACGCTGTACGTACCTGCAGTTCTGTTACTTGGTTCTGGTATTTTCTTAGTTCCTCTGTTCCAATTGTTCGATTATACCAGGTATTCAATGCCTGGTATTTTTCATACAATATGTGTCTAAGTTCCGCTTCCTTTAGACTTTTTGCAAGACCCAAATCCACTATTCTCTTCATGGAATTGATGTTTTCTTGATTCAGCACACCCTTCATCCTCTCCATTATACAATATCAACTGAGCGAATATAAAATAGATAGGTTATCTAATGAATTACATTTTTGTAAACAATCTCTCAAATTATTTCATTTGAAGAAAAATCATTATTTAGGTTTAAATTTAATTGAGACAATCTAAGTAATATATAGACACGAAACAATTACCAATGACCACAACATTTTTAATGTGTAAATTCATTAAATGAAACGTAGGCATTCAACTCTACAACTTATTAATTAATTAATTAAGTTAGAATCATACAAATAATAACACATAAACAAATGTGGCCTAAACAATTATTTTAATTACTATATTTGCACAAAATTGATTTATTTCTCACTGTTCTGAAGTATAATACTCTTTAATGCAGTCAACTATAAAATTAGCATTCCCAATTAGTAATTGATATTTGTTAATTAACAAATACATTAAATTTTCACTGAAACTTTCCATTAAGTATGTTAAATATCAACATTTTAGTTATATACATATTATGAAAGCATTATGTAATCTATTCTTATTGATATTAATTTTAAAATTATGTTTTTGGTAATTATTATATAATTTGTATTTTCTGCGCCATTACTAACGCCATCTACTAACTAAAATTCAACATTGTCTACATTTAAAAATTTCGATATTTTCTATATCAAACGTAATGCAATTATTAATGTTCTGTTCGTAATCGATAATTGTAATATTATTTACAGCTTCCATTTGATTTTGATGTTTTTAGATTATATTTTTTTAACTATTTTATTTGAAATACTTAGTTTACAGACTATGAAAAGTTATTATATATTAACATTTCATTACTTTGAAGACATAAACTGTTAGATTCATTCAAATCAATTAGATTGCTATTACTTATAGAAAACTATTCCATCTATAAAACTATTGTAACAAACTTTTGTACACAACACGCATGTTATAGGTTTGCGTAGAATGGGACTAAGATGGAATTCCGATGAAGATCAGTTAAAATCTAATACGAGAAAGAGTGGGAAAATAACATCTACAAAATCATTTGAAAAGGTTAGGAGGAGGAGAAGAAGAAGTAGTTTATATCTAATAGGAATACGTTGGTCATACTGATGATGTAATAAAGGTATGAAGCGCAGGGCGAAGAGCGCACGGAGCGACCCGGGTCGACGCGGACCGATACTATTTTGCGTGTGATTTGTGCTGCAGTCGGTGTTGTTTACATTTAGTGATAAGACGTCCTCTTATCGAGAGGATCTGTATGAAATCTGTTGACCCAGAACTGAGAGAAGTAGAAAATCCTTTGGACCAAATTATAATTAGTATTGGATCGTTGGAAGAAGATTGTTCCAACACCTCTGATGTCCTGGTAAATGCAACCACTTTATTATATTAACTTGCAAATCGGTATTTGCCTGTCTTCGACGTTTCAGTTATTGATGAGTCGGTCTTTAATTATGATTACTTTTTTTTGCGTATCCTCTTCATTGCGCTCAGCTAAACGTAAACAACTCGATTTCTTTCTGCACGAGTCGCAATATTATATAAGGTTTGTTTTTTTGTTTAAATGATAACAACCTTTCAAGGAATCAATTTTTGTATTCACTCAATTCACATTTTGACTAAATATCAATTAATTTAAGTTTTGCAAAAATCAGTTCATGGATACTTTTCATTAAAAAAAAAAAATCAATATTTCTTTTAAGAAAATATACAAATCGTAAAATGTAGTTTTGCTGATAGCTCCAATTTGATTGGAAACACTGTCAATTTTTCATCATTTAAAAAATATCCTTAAACATTGTTTTATTGTGAAATGTTGAATAGTTGTAATCTGAATATCATGTTTGTGCGGAATTGTTGAAACGTTTACAAACAAAAATCTTATCAGAATAAAACTATTTGGAAAGTATTTTCAATTATAGCTTCTTCCAATAATCAGAGCAATATCAAGTTTTGTTTCGTTCTCGAGTATAAATATTTATTTCAATTAATATCAACTTACCACTAAATTGTTAAGTATATAGAAAACAAATAACAGGGGCGGATTTAGTCAACTAACCTAAACACGCGTTGATTCGGTAGACCCCCAAACACTGTTAGTGTTAGATCATCCCAAACAATATTAGTTGAGGGTTCCAAACAGAGTCAGCCTAGGGCCCTCAAAGATAATGGTCCGCCCCTGCAAATGACTCATAAAATGAAATTATTTTCATCTTATATAAAATCTTGTTTATTTCCATGTATTCGCAGACATCGATTTAGCTTGTGTTATTTCACAATTTTATTACTTGAAACGAGATTACGAATATAAGCTTAAACCGTAAAATGTGAACATTCATCAATTCAATTTCAATTTTCAATTTTAAAATTCTTTATTCATTGTAGATATGCAGATACATTGGTATTGTTATTAAGGGGTGGAACATTCATCAAATATTTATGTATATTTATATTAGTAATATATTGTCGATTTTTGTAATATATCAGACTTTTTGCACCAAGAGCCTACATGAAAATATTGGGAGCCTCACCTAAATTTTATATTATTTATTAGTTGAGCCACAATAAAACTCTTGAACTCAACGACATGCGGCTCGCTATCCTCAGTTTGGCCACTCCTGTTATATACATTACTGTAATCTAACTGAGCCACAATAAAACTTTTGAAGAGCCGCATGTGGCTCGCGAGCCACTCCTGTTTTGAACTTTGAAGATGCTAGTTTGGTTGTCTATGTTTGTTTATGGACAGTTGTCTGATATCGTCTGCAACAAATCCCATACACTTATGAACTTCATCTTATATGACTTTGTTATATAAGTACAAAATTATTCATCTTATTATTATGAGTTTCAATTCAAAATCAATATTACATTTTACGAATTAGTCAAATGTTAAAAATAAATTATTCAAATTAATGTAATTGTAGCAGAGATGCATAAATTCAACATATTTCCATTTGTTTGACACCGGGGAACGCAACGCCTTATTATTCAACCCTCTCTCTTTTTTTATATACTTTGTATATTATCGATTTGCATGGTCTTGACAAACGGATGTAAGCCGGTATACGTTCCACTAGATTGCTTTGTTTCACAATTGCTATTGACAAATTCATCCTATTTGACCTAAATATGCTTTGGAAGTTTTATTTTTTTTTACTCGGACGAGTAAAGTTATCTACTGCTATAAATTTATATCATGCCAACTCAATATTCGTATTTCCATTCGTACATAAAAATATGATATTGATTTATTATATTAATTATTTATCTTTTGTTGTTGCTAAGATACAGATAGTATGATTAATTGTTTTCTTTTTTACCTTTCGATGTTTATGATAGATTTTCTAAGAATTTTAAATAGTTTGTAATCCATGGTTGTATATGTCTTCCTCTTGAAGGCTTTCACCTTCTGAGATATACATATTTGATTTTAAGATTTTTCTTTATTGTATAAAAATTAGGTGCCTTTCGGATATTTACAGTGTATGTCATCCATTTCTAGCCGCCGCCGTTTCCTTTTTTAAAATAAAAATTATATATTAGGGTTTTGTTGTATGTCAGGTGAATTAGTAAATTTTTCTAATGTGGGGAAAATTTGCTAAAGATTAGTTTTGAAAAACTAAGAGATGTACATAGCCTGTGTCGAACTGACATCATTTTACCAGCCTCAGTCTTTGTACTTTAAAGTTAGAAGAGTTCTGCAAAACAAAGATAAGATCAATTGAGCCTGCGACTCTGAGATTGTTACATAATAATATTATATATGCAACCAGTAATACTTATTTGACTTTGATCATATGTTAATGATAGTGTTAATGAATGATAACGAAATTGTAAGTAATAGACGACAAAGTTGCTATTAACACCTTTTAGTTTATATTTCTAGTTGAGTATTAATTACAAATAAGCTAATTGTACAAAATGATATATATTTGTATTTCTTTAGAATTCTAGAATCTAGTCTTCAAAAATTACATCTTTTCTAGTGATTCCAAAGACTCCACTTAGAAATCTGCATTGATCACCTTTCTAAGTTTTATTGTATTCACATACAGTGGAACCTCGCATAACGATGAATTGTAAGAAAAATGACTCGCATAACGAGAAGAGAAGTCCCGGATTGTGCGCCTGCTACATCATTTTTTAAACTTGTGCACTTTTGAATATGTTTCACTATACGAGTAAAAATCCGGTAATTTTGGAACGGATTAAACTCGTTAAGCGAGTTTCCACTGTAGCTTTTTTTTATGTTAAATAGTGCTTGAATTTTGCTGTTTCAATATATCGAAACTTCGTTAGCAGAGGTAACGTTAAACGAGGTATGACTGTTTTTGTTGGTGTACGAGTTCGTAAATTGTACTATTAATATGGTTTAATAAGAAAATGCTAATTTTAATATGTATTTTGTAATACCTCGATTTACACTAATTTTTCAGATTTTGTTTAAAAATAATCAATAGACGAGTCTTATAAATATATAATTTTATTATTAAAACATAGTTAAAATGCAATCACGAGATTTCAACAAAAATCTGTTTCACCTCATCCAGAAATAGACGAACTGTTTTTTTTTGTTTTAAATTATTTCCAATAACTATTTCTCGCTTTATTGCGTCAAAGGTGGATAAAATCAATGTGTTCAATTCGTCGTTACACATTATAATATTAAAACATATTGCGTACATAATCTCGAACGAACTACTTTTGGTTCACAGCTATGGACTCTTCAACGAACATGAATTAAATTATAGCACTAAACCAATACAAAATCGATTTTATTATACCGTTTTTTAAGCCTTCCTTCTTACAGTGTACATTGTCGTTTTTCTCATTTCCATAGTGGTTAATTTATTAAGTGCTTTTACAGTACTAAATTTAAAATTAAGTTTTATTTTTCTTATACGTTTAATTAAAAAAAAACAATTATAGACACCTAAATAATAATCTTAAAATTATGAGATATAAACAAAGATCAGTCAGTAATAAATAAAGCGTGATGATGATTACAGTAGAACGCAAAGAGAGAGAGAGAGTTAATTTGTGTTTTGCCTTGTTTGATGAATTCATCGGATTTGCTTGTTGTCGAAGGAGGAGTGAAGACAATGCGTTGAAGAGGTTGGTCGTGGTCCCGTGCCTCCAAATACTTCTTGAGACGCGTACGTTATGTATAAGAATCCGTCCTCTCCTTGGAATTCACCGTAGATTTCGGACAAGGTGGAAGTTAAGCTGATCATCGAACGATTGTTCACTAATAAATAGAGCGACTGAGTTTGGTTGATGCTCATGCGGTTTCTACAACATCATTAAAATGCTTAAATATCTTTCGCTTTCAATTACGCAATTTTACCTGATTATCGTCAGGAACTGCGCCATCGTTATTTCTTGCGGGACCAGGAACTTTGTTTTATCCAATGTTGGGAGGTTCGTTTCTTTGACGAACTTATTTACGATAATCTAGAACACAGAAAAAAAAGGGACGATTCAATAAGATAACTTTGCCTAGAGTTACTGCCTTTTATGTTTTAAGGATATCAAGTAGCCTTGAGTTAAGTTTTCCTTCATCTTTATCCTTCGCGAATCCGAGTGGAGGCGAAATCATTGCAGTGTTTAATTAATTTTACAATAAATAACGGACTTATCAGCATCGGACGCGTTGTAATTGGAGTCCGGGCCGAAGATAAAGCCAACACTTCGACACTTATCTTCTTCGTACGCAAGGGAATATAAATACGTTTATTTATTTATTTTGGTTCGTTTCCATATCAGTCCACGAAACGGATAATAATTGAACAAACAACACCTACCGGGATTTTGGTGGGGAAACGGTTCCTGATTGCCATCACCTCTTCTTTACGGATTTCTGAAACAAACAATCCACAATCGTTATTTTTCTGCTTTCCTTTAACAGTTTTCTTTATTTACAAACTTACCGAGGGATTTGTTGTTTTGAGAGCTGTTGTTGTTCGAGTTTATGTCTCTTGGATGTTTTCGATCCGTGTTGAAGTTCATGATCGCTGTGAGAGAGGTGGCTTTATTTCTGCTTGTTCCTTCACCGAAGTCGCCAAGACCTGTTGGACAGTTGCATGGACATACTTTATCTGGAGTAGTTTTTGATAACATAATTACACACCTGAAACATAGACACATATTTAAGAATTAATTGTATAATATTTAACATGAATGTTGTAAAACAATCTGATTTAAATATTTTAAAAATACCTCACATAGTGCGTGTAATCCTGTTTGAAACCGCACTAATCGAGGAACTAAATACAATACAAAAATAATCCGCCCAAAAAGAAGATTATTTATGTATAAGATCAATATTTTGCTCAAAGTAAAATGTAACTAGTTTTGAAAATGATAAACCGAACTGTAGTGAATCCGGACTGATCGAAGCTGCATTATACATCGGATTATATGATATTGATTCTGTTTTGGGATTAAATGGATTAAAACACTGCGTTATTTGTATATATTCATTTAATGCTATAAATAATTGATGCAATGTTGACATTTGACTTGATTATTGGGTGTAGTTCAAACTATATAATCATTCGGATTGGGAAACTTGTGTACCGTTGCGAGGATCAAAATAAAGCAATAATGCGGCTTCGATCAGTCCGGATTCACTATAGTCCGGTTTATAAAAATTGAATTAAAAAAACAAACTTTATTTTTGTACTTTTGTCTTTATTTCCACGATTAGTCCGGTTCGGGATATTGGTTGAACTGGTTACAGGTAGTATTGTTGTATTTAGTTCATCGGTTTTCAAACAGTCATACAAAATAAAAATACAATAAAAAAAAACATATTGATATAATACAATATGTTTATTATTCTACAACTGTGTTTTGCCTTTGTAATCTTTTAATAATTGACGTAGCTTTGATTAAGGTATCCAAATAAACGCAAAACATTCTCATGCGATTACTTTGAATAAAGCTTAATTACTTAATAACTCATACATTTAGATTTAATTTTTTTTTAGTTAATACTAATTATTTAAAAATGAAAATCTTGCTTTTAATTTTAGTTTTAGTTAAGTTGCAGACGTTTTTGTTGTTGTCAACTGCCTCGAATCAACTATATTTAGATTACAGACAGATAAACATCAACTTATATTGATGTTGATGCGTCTTAATGGTCTAAACCTCATTAGCAATTACATTACACTTCATCTTATATAATACTACAAAATTTCAAACAATTGATTTTTTTTTTGTTTATATAAAACAATTGTTTTGCATAATGTATTTCAAATGTTTCGTGACTGACATATAAACGAATACTACGAGCAATTTTTTTTCAAAAAGATTTATTCCACTAAATTTTTGCAAGTTTTCAGTTATACATTTCAGTAATTATTTAGACTATCTTTTAGCTTAACTGGGATATTCAAATGACTACATACCACTTAAAATAATTCACAGGTTATTTGGCGAGATTCTGCAGATGTACTGAGATGTTTTGTTAACACAATGCGAATGTCTTCGTAGTGAGAGTGCGCGATTTGGATTGGATCTGCTCGATGTATCTTTCCTATATCACTGCTTCACAAAAGTGATAACCATTCAGTCTTGTTATATTTTTTTTTTCTGTTTTGAATATTTATTATCTACCGAACTTCTATCTCTCTCGCACACTTTTGCTTCCACAAATTGAACATGTACAAATAACGTTAATCACACGGAATAATTGCTGCAAGTACACACCGAATCCGTCGATGTCCAATAATTGAATGACGGAGTGTACAGATTTTTTGGTCAATTTATGTGTCCCTCGGGGACGGTGGGGAGGAACTCGGTGCATTTCGCGTTGGAAACAATTATCTGTAAACGTTATGTATCAATGTATTTTTTTTTTGGATTCAATGGAGACGAAGAGGCACCTCCTTACATAACGAGACTCAATTGACGGATTATCGATAGGATATCGTTAATGCGTGGACCCTAGGACCTTAGCCAATTAAAACGATCTTAAAAATACTGCAAATATGTTGATCGGTTAGTTAGATTGAGGAAGAATCATTTTGGTTGAAGATAACTTATATTGATCAGTTGGTAAACATACATAACGTTGAAAAAGGTGTGTACAATCATACCTCAATTAACGAATAAGATGTTCTTAACGAAATTAATTCGTTAAAGTAATTTCGTTTTCAGATGTAAAGGAAATTTCTCTCTAAATAAGTAAAGTTTTCTTGAATAATCAGTCAACTTACATACAAAAGTAAAATCACTTTTAAAAATTGATTATTTATACATTTATTTAACAATTTCCTATTTAACACAGATTACTTAACAATAACTTTCATTAAAAAATAAACATTTGGGTGTCAATTTTGTCTTTGTTGCTATCAAGATTTTCTAAATCTTCCACTGAAAACCATCAACAAACTTTATCTTATTATCTTCTTCTAGTACAACTTCATTCTTACTGACTTCTTTCGAAGAATTATCAATGATTTTAATTGTGGTATAGTTTTTTCCGAAAATATCATTTTCTGTTTATCCTCTAGTTACAGACACAGGTAATTCAATTTAAATGATGCTATTATTATCCAATGTTTGAATTGATCAACAATTGAAATTACTGTCTTCATTATAACGAAGGAACAGTTAAAGTTTTGCATTTCGTTTATTCACTTTCCTTAAATGATTTAATTAAATTGTTGTGTCCAACCATTATTATTACAATTGTTATTGTTAATACGAACGAACGTCCCTTAGTCGCATCATTATATAAACATCAATCATATGCAAAACTTTGTAAGTAGAATGAGTATTTATAATTATTCTCAGTAAAACGTTAATATGATGAGCATAGTCTCAGCAGTAGACCAAGTAACGACTAAAGTTATGTAAAATCAAACGAATTTCATTAAATTCCCAACTATTGAGACTCCAAAACGACAATACCAGACAATATTCCACTATGTCCAGAATTCCATCCCTGGGACACGATAAAATTAACGTTTAAAATTTAGTATTTTTACTTCTAAAAACGAAGTTCCGCATATTATTCGTTAATTCAAATGAAATAAATATGTACTTACATTATAGTTTTTATTTATTATAATATTTATTTATTACTATTAATATATAATAAGAACTATTTGTTTATTTCTAAATGTTAAAATTACAATTAAGTCAATCTTGAAAATGCATCACATAATCTACATTATATAAACTTTTAATGATTAATAAGCGTATTTATGTTACGTTTATTAGTTTTATTTCGACGATTTTTGTAATCTATAAAAAAAAATTAAATGTATTTTTAGAATCAGACTCTAATAACGTTCGAACGTACTACTTTTCAATATTCAATATGGATTATTTCAATGATATCAATTATTTCTATGATAATATAAATCTGAACTATCTTATTAAGGTATTAATCCACAGTTTCAGTGCATAATAACAACATTTTAATCTAATTACATTATTTTATGGATAAAAGATTCAAAGGATCTAATCATTATAAGAAAGCGTGATTTTTTCAATAAATGTTAAATTTCTTAAAATTTTCATTTTGTAAAATACTTTATACGTAAGATCCGCATATAATCGTACGACCTTGTTCGTATTTAAATCAAACTTTAAAAATTAAATTTGTTTACGAAATTTGCATTTTCTATGTAATTAGTTAATTGGATTAAGGTTTTAATTGAAACGTTAAGATAACCAATACAGAAATACGTCACATTGTACTCGCACATTCGGTTCCTTCTATATACCGCACTAATCGAGGACTTTAAATAAAGAACAAAGATAATATCTGTATAGAAGAAAAAAATACTAATTTATTTTGATTTTTCTGAATTAAATAGTGAAACCACACTTGTAGAAGTCTCATTATGAAATAATAAACTTGATATTAAGAATATTTAGTAATTTTAGGACAAAATGTTGCTAAAACTGAAATTGTATGTATTGACCGCCCTTGAAAACTTGAATTATCTATGGAAATTTCTGTTTAACTCGTTTTGTCGCATGTTGATTACTAATAAAATGTGAGCTGACTAATCTATTAATATATCAAATAGTAGAATTTTGTTTATTATTGAAAGCAAATGAGTCTACGTTATTGTATGTACAGTGGAAAATTAACGGAAGTTTTGTTTTTGACATGAATATAAATTATGTTGATTATCAAACGAACCCTTTTCACGTGGTTTTCGATTTTCATTGATACGTTAACACACACTTTTTTTTATCTTGAACAATACGAATGTTTAAAATTTTGTCGATATTAATAAAACTGCATTCAATAATCGAAAACATGTAAATATGATGGTTATGTGTAACGCTGTTAACAAATCAAATAGTAGAAATTATTATTGAGTCAAATGAGTCTTTCTTATTGTTATATAAAGTAGAGTGGAAAATTGATCGGTGGCTGAAGGAAAAAAAAATTAATAGTTTTGTGTTTGTGATGAGTGTTGTTGCATTAAAGTTATTGAACCGCTTTGAGGAGCAGCGATAAGGGTCGAAGAATACAAACGCACACACAAGCCTCAATTTATAATAGAATAACACATCGAGAATTTTCCACTACATTTGAAACCTCTTTATTTATTTGCATGATGTGCGTTGACGTTCGTACTATTACTATTGGAACGTTTTTCTAGTAAGCTTTTTATACGCTCAAATATTTGTCGATTTTACTCGAATTTTCGTTCAGACTAAAAAGACTTTATCTGGCGTTTGGTTTCCGATTAAAGCTGCTTTCGGAGACTTCGTGGAATCGCTTCGAACCTTACACGATTATTATTGTGAAAGGTTAGTTCAATTTTCGAGCTTCCAAATTAGTTATGCTAAAAAAAAAACTTTGAATTGCTTTGGTCATCTGTATTTGTCTATTTATTTGCTTTTCCTTGTCATTCAAGTTATCTAACGTCGTTGTTGTTGTTTCAACCCTGTGCCAGTTTCTAGTCTCTATATTTCCACCAACAATCTGTTACTAAGTGCACGCGCGACGATATTATAAATAGATCGAATAATTATTATTCATATTGATGCATGAATTTAAAGAAAGAGCTGATTAGTGCAATACGTCACATCAAAATGATAATATTGCTCCGTTTTTTTTTTTAATTGAATTTATATTATTTTTCTTTCAGGTAGAAGATATGCAAACGCGTTCGTAAATCGAGGATGTTCTTGACGATTTGTTACATGTACGCTACATTCGTGCAGTGGTGGCGTTTGGGGGCTTTGAAGACTAAACTGAACGGCACCCTCAGCCCTCAGAATGCCCTTCTCCTCTGTCATCCATCTGGGCGAGTGCAGAAGCGTTGCTTGGAGAATCTACTCTTCCAAAATGGAAATCGCACCGCGTGCACCGTCGTGCCTAAAGTATTATCTTACTATCGTTTTTCAGAACTCTGAATCATCATACTGAAAATAATTTACATTTGCAGCAAACAATTAACTTAGGGCAGTGGCTTTTGTTGCCCAGAGACTTAAAATATTTCCCTATACATTTCACGAGAGGAGGACCTTTCGAAACCCCCAAATTGTACATATTAATTCAAGCATGTCTGGATATATACAAACCACATGTTGCACAACTGTTGCAGGTAATTCATAAATGTGTCTTACTTTATTCAAAATTTTGTCAAATTAAAAAGTAAATTTATTTCATAATGAGCACAAACATTTGTCAATTACCATTAGGCGAGTAATTACTTGAACAACAAACTATGGTAGTCATGGTGATTACGTGATACTTGACAAGTTTTTTTGGTTAACCCTAACGCACGAGTCTAATAACAACATTTAAATTATATGGATTTTAAAATAGTGAAAATCACTAATTACATTATCACATATTTGATAAATATCTAAAGATTGAAGTAGAACGTCCATTTTTCTTAACATTTAGTATTGCAAAAATCTTTTTTGTTATCATTAATGGAAATTGTCATATTCGTTGTTGCTGTTGTACGTTTTCCTTATTATCTTATTTGATTAATTACAGAGTAAATATTTAAAATTAGTTATTTCTCAATGCGTCAATTCATTAAGAAAAAATTTAATGTAAATCGAAGGAATTAATTCAATATTTGAATTAAAAGCAATAAAGATAGTCAAAATTTGGTTTCATTCTTAAGTGAAAATAAATCGTAATTTGTGAGTTGTTGCATTATGTTTTTAAGACTGTTATTTGAATGAAGATGTGTGACTTTTATACCAATTTTATGACAAATTAAATATTTTTCAGTTGGAAAAATTTGGCGATTTAGTTGCGTGGCGAGTGAACGAGAATTTAGAAATAATCGTGAAGAGCGATTTGAATCATCTAACAAGATTATTGAATTGCTTCACATACAATTGCCTGGACATGAACCACGAATTGTCAGTGCTGTCTGTAGAAAGTGAGTAAGATTTGCGTCGGTAGAAAATAACAGTAATTTGCACACGTATTTTGAAGCCATCGAAGTTGAAGGACATCCTGTGAAAGTGAAATACTTGAAGAAGTTCAATTCGAAGAACAAAATCAAATACAGCTACGCACCAGGTGATTGGAAGAAATTCATCGACAGTATAAAAAACCTTTATAGCAAATTGACTGAATCCACAAAGTAAGTGTAATTGTAATAATGTCTGAGTTCGTGAATTATATAGTTTTGATTTTCAAGTCCAAAGATAATGATTGAAAACGGCACTAAAGGCGAGGAGAAGAAAGTGCCTGTATCTGAAGTGAAACCTATCAAGAAGAGTTCAAATAAAAACACTTTAGACGTGGCCGCTGCAAGCGGCCACAAAAAGCATAAGTCTGATGATAAAAAGAGTCGAACCACCAAGGTTCATAAAGAGGCTGAAAAAGAGGTGAAGATTAAGATTACGGAGGATACCGAACCGATAAAGGAAGACGCAACTGATGGGAAAATTGCGGAAGAAGTTAATAAAAAGAAAGTTCAAGATGAGTCTAATACAGCGATAAAGGCTGCAGGAGATGTTAAAACTGAGAAGAGGAAAGTTGAAGCGTCGCATGAAATTAAGAAGACGTATTCCGAGGTGGCTCAGGCGAGGAATTTGCAGAGGCAGGATGCGACGAGATCAAAGGAAACCTCTCCAAACAGAGTTGTTAAACCGCCCAATATATTGGTATATGCGGATAGTCAGGTTGCCAAAGAGAATGTTAAAAGTGTGCTGAAGAATATGATCAATAAGGAGAAATACACGGTTTACGATTTACCCTTAAACACGAAGACTAATTTCTGGGATACATCCACCAGTTTGGTTATAGTCTGCGGAAACGTCGAACCAGATTTGACGCCGCACCTGTTGGAGTATCTGCTGAGCGGAGGACAACTTCTTTGCCTTTGCAGCGATCTTCTGTATTCAGTACTTCAGACCTATTCAACTGCGGAAGTTAGAGAACTCGAGCTGGTTCGTTTCAGTTACGGCCAATGGAAGAACGTCAAGATGATGCACCATATATTCTGTTATCAGGCTTCTCCAGCCAAGAAGCAGTTCTCCAAAGATTCGGATCAATCCAATCACAGCAATGGTTCAAGTCCAGTAGCGCCGAGAACACCGTCGACCGTCGAAATCCAGCACAATTCCAAAAATTACACGATCCAAGTGCAAGTGCTCGGAGCTGAAGAAACATGGCAGACTCCGAGTCTCCTCTTGGCAACTGTCAAAGGTGGCAGCGGAAAAGCTATATTTTCTCAGGTAAATTTCTATAATCAAAACTGTTAATAACTGTAAATAACTTTCGTGTATCATTTAGGTCCATTTAGAAGTTGATCCAACGCAGTATCAAGATGATGAGAGCAAGTACAGTGCTTTGCGAGATAGCGACACGGCTCGTTTGGAAATCTTAAAAGACATTCTCTCAAAACAATTGGAAATCGATTGCCGTAATTCTCAGGATAATATCAAATACACTCCGGCTTACTTTTTGGGACGATTCGAGGTAACATTTCAATATTAGTAGCGATAATGTCTTTAGTTTCAAAATCATTTCCAGACCAAAAAGGATCTCTTCAATTGCACCGAAAGCATCGTGAATAACACTCTGTCGACGGATGGTATTCAGGTGGTTTTCTGCAATAAAGATGATGATCCGGGCGCATCCACCTCGACGAGACTTCCGGTGCTCATACACAGCTGCCCTTCCAGATTCTCCACCGTAGCTTATTACGAGGTAAGCTAAAAATTACAATATACTTTATAATTCTGTAACAAAATCCATAGGCTCTACGCACCAAACACTTGGGAAGGTTAATGATATACGCCGACGTTCTCACGAGTTCCCAAAGACTCCTGAAAGAAAAACTGACACACGGACTTGTCGTTGTTGCCAGACAACAAACGGAAGGAAAAGGTTTAAATTAAATTTACTTTTTCAGTTTACAGTTTTATATTTTTATTTTTCTAGGTCGTTCAAATAACGAATGGTTAAGTCCCGAAGGATGCGCAATGTTTTCTCTACAATTGCACGTGCCGTTGAATTCGGTTTTAGGGAATGCCCTGCCGCTTCTGCAGCATCTAGTTATGGTGGCTATTGTTTCAGCATTGAAATCGATTCCAGAATTTAAGGTAATTTAATTATTTTCGTATTGCAATCTCACGCACATAATATTTCTCGATTGCACAGAAAATGGATCTGGGATTGAAGTGGCCCAATGATCTCTACGCACATTCCAGTATCAAAATTGGAGGATTAGTTATAGCTTCCACAGTTGAAGAAAAGCAGGCTGTAGTTAATATAGGTATTTAGATTAAATTATATATATATTTATTTATTTATTTCTAATCATTCGTTTTGTTTCTAGGTTGCGGCATTAATTTGAGTAACTCAGAACCAACGTTGTGTATAAACGATCTCATTACGTCGTTGGGCGTTAGAAAATCCTTGGCTTTGGAAGATTTCCTAGCGATTGTGTTCAATGAAATCGAACGGATTTATGAGACTGTGCAGGAAGGAAACTTGGATTACTTGTACGAGCTCTATTATGATCATTGGCTGCATAAGTAAGTTTATCTTAGAGATAATTGAAGAGACATTAATTGCTGTTTCAATTTTTTAGCGATGCCATAATTACTGTTAGTACGAATGAAGGTTTTAGCAGAGAGGTGAAAGTAATTGGAATCGATCAATACGGTTACCTGAAAGTCAAAGGCGATGATGGAACGATCAGCAGTGTTCAACCTGATGGAAACAGCTTCGATATGTTGAGGGGATTGATCGCCCCGAAGATATGTTAATACGTGTGTCAAACTTAAATTATGTCCTATTGGACTGTAACATTCCAAAGTTTATATTTATAAGTGTCGCGGACTTTTTTTTTAAGAGATATTTTTTATATGTAATTACAAAATAATTTTATATGTTTTTAGTTTTTTGTAGATTCGAATTGTAATTTATCTCACTCTGACTCTTGTTAAACTTGTGCTACTTTATCTCTCTATATTTATTATTTATTTGAATCACATTTTATTTGGGGAAATTCATTGATCAATTAGTCATTAAACTCAATATAATTGATTAAATTTTGTCTAGATGTGAAAAGTTTAAAAGAAATTCTCAGATACACGCAAAATTTTCACGTAAGTTCAATTACAAAATGAGTAAGTCTATGGAAATATGTAGTCATGTGTGTGTTGCTTTCAATCTTGCCAAAACCAAACTTATTGCTAATACTTGAAGCAGCAAAACAAACTTGACATTCCTCCGTCTTCCTTCTTAAACATTGTTATTTTTTCTTGGTTTCTATATCATAGCATATCTTGAGTCAATTACGCTTGGAGATATTGATACTAAATATAAAATACTCGATTTGTCGTGTGTCTATAATTATATTTAATACATCTCGTAATTATTTTAAACTATATTTGTTGTGTCCTTTTAGATATTTATGATAAATGAAATAATGTTGTCTGTTGTTTGTTGTTGAGCCTAGCTTAATATGAAAAGAAACTCGATGTTAATAAACGGTGACAAAACCTTTGAATTCCAATAAATTGAAGGAACAAAATATTACTTTTTATTTTTGAAATTCAGTATTTTTGATTTCTAAGTTTGTTGCAGTAGCTATTACTTCTAGTACTCGACATAAGCTCAACCATTTTCGTCTGGAGGAATGTTGAAGATTTGTATCATTCTACAAGTTAAACTTTAGTTACTTCAAAGATTTGGGCAGCACTAATTTCATATACACCTAGAAACTTGTTATCAAGCTCCATGCATTGACAATAATTGGTTTCTTATTTTGTTAAGCCTACTTGGGTGGAAATCGAAATCTTGGTTGTCGGAAAATATCATTATAAATGTCCTATGAAAATTATTATTTTTGAATGTTTGTATGTATGCAAGCATATTTACACGTAAGTCAATTGGAAATAATCGAATATTTCAATTATATAAATAGAAAATCCACTTAAAGCAAACTAAAGGACATCATGTAATGTATTTACACTTTGCAAATCTTTATCATAGAGTACACATAATATATAAATAATACAAAACAATTTGCAGGTTATGTAACTTGGGACGGACGTCAAAATAAAATTGGCGATTCCAAATTCCAATCTCGTAAACAATTCTCGCCGTGACCATTATCTTTGTGATGAACATTTTTTTCCCTAATGATAGAGATGTTTTCGAACAGACAGATAGTGAGAGTGTGAGTCACACCGATTGTTTGTAAACTGCAGTCAGTGCAACGCCCAAAGATACAAGTGTTTTTCAAATGTTAACAATGGATTAGAGAAAGGTTTTCGGAAGTTAGCACAGTAATAAACAGAAAGATGGGTGAAAGATCCATAGGGGATGGTTACAACATGCCTGAGGCATGGGCTGGTAACAACTCCAGCCATGTACTCGATGACATCAAGATGGATTCAAATTTTCTCATGCTTCTTGGAAGTCTGATCTTTGCTATTACCTGGGTGATATACATCACTTATTATAACTCGAGGATCTTTGGATGTATTATCACAAATATTGTCAATAGATTTTTGAGCAACAGCGAATACTTTCAAATTGGTAAATGCAACAATTGTATTCGATCGTTGACGATTTAACCATTTGTTTGAAACGTTTCAGGTTCATTCACAATAAATGCTTTATCTGGGAAAATTATGTTCAGAGATTTGGTGTTTATCACACATGACTATACTGTCCGAATACAGGATGGTTATTTAATATTTAGATGGTGGAGATCATATGTTCCTAAAGATGTCAGTGAAGGTGATTTTGGAAATGTTGTAATCACATCTCATTTACTTTAATAATAATAATTATTTTGTAGACTTGTCCCATTCGGATACTAGATTATCAGTTGTTCTACATGGATTTGAGTTGCATGTTTATAATCGTTCTCATCTCTACTCCCAAATAGAAAGGATCTTTGGTTTAGATCCTGGTATATTCCCAGATAATAATAATGAGGAAAACAATATGAATATAGAAAATATTGAAAGGTTAATTTTTATAATAAGAAACGAATGATTTGTGATAATATATAATGTAATTAATTGTTATTAGAACTGAGCAAGAGAAGAAAAAGAAACAGAGATCTGAAGCTGCCATGGCAGGAACTTGGAGGGATTTGATTCCTGTAATTAAAATAGATATTTCATCTGTAAGAATACTTTTAATTAATCATCTAATAGTGAAGATTTCATTAAAATTAATTTATTTATTATTTAGTGTCGTTTGGTATTTGGAAATAAGCTCGTGCCTACAACGCTCAGTGTCACAGTGGAAGAAAGTCACTTTGTCTATTCGACTAAACCTGCAGTTAACACTTTGGATAGGTTTATGCATTTTACTAAATGCAAAGCGGAGAATGCGAGGGTGATGTTGGCGCCGAGCCCCAAGTACACGGGAATGTTGGATGAGCCGCCTCGGTATATGGGTGAGGGTTTTGTACTGATGTCGACAAACGACATGGAACTGTATTTCTACATGGATGAACCCGGTATCGTTCCTGATCAACCTGTTACCGTGACATTAGCAAACGGAGATGTTGTCGAATCCAGTCCGCCCCAATGGGGTATGGACATCAAGTGCGGCAAAGGCACCGATTTCAGCTACGGTCCTTGGGCTGATCGCCAAAGAGAACACCTGTTCAAATTCTTTTACCCCCAAGATTATGTTACCATGAAAGTCACGGAAGCTCCGAAGCCCGGCGACAAAAGGCAAATGCAGTCCTTCGATGTGCGACTTTCGATGCAGTACATCGCAACCATAGACATCCTTTTCTCGAAAAACAAGGAAACTAATGCTGTCCACGTTACTGTTGGAGCTGGAAGCTATTTGGAAATAACCATACCATGGGTTACAAATGCCAATGGTTACATCACAAAGATTAACGGCCAATTATTACATTTAGAGGCAACGACTAGTTTGCAGTTCAGAGATTTAGCGGTGAGCGAGACTCTGGAGTTTTCCATTTTGTGTCATTACCCAAGGGTGTGGAACGAGCATCAATTGTGGGAAGTCAATATGACAGGATGCAAAGCCACAGTGAATATTCTCTTCAATCACAAATGGTTTTTTCAAGGTAATATTGAGTCAATTTCTTAGTGAATTGGTTATTTATTTTTTCTTTTTAAAGATTTCATAAACGATTGGTCGTCGAAACAGAGACCGGATATTCTGCACTTTGTGCCTTACACCTGGAATTTCGGTTTAACGTTGAAACATTGCGAAATAATAACATTGGTGAATCAGTACAATTGGGTAGATTGCAGCAGTATAGGGCATAATCAAAGATTGGAGAACACTCAGATCGCACTGTGCGCTCACTTCATGCACCTATCTTTCAACATGCCGTTTGATGAATTCTTACCCGACACGGTCGCTCTTAACTTCAGCATTCAAGGCGAAAGCATTGATTTGACCTTGTTCATTCCTGAATTTCATACCAGTAGAAACGTGGTGACGGCTCTGGAGAAGTACGCAAAAGTACACGCGAAAGACGCCTCTTCTACCAAGAAAACCGAAGCCATCCCGAAGTGGCGAAATATTTGTCAAAAGAGTTTCGGTTGGATCGACTTCTGGTGGATTCCGATCGGTGCTATTAGTATTGTTTACGAGTACCATCCCTGTCCTCCACTGGGACCAACGCCTCAAGCTGATATTTCGACACCGGTGAAAGAGGAGATTCTCTTGTCTCCGATTAGGCCTCATCAAAGAAAACGGAAGCAACGATCTCCGGTAAATTTAAATTGATTATTAAGTGCTAAATATATTGTTAATATTATTTTATAATGCAGCAGGAAGGTGTGCAAAAGTTCGATCCAACTAGTTTAAAGGCGGATCTGGTTACAGTTGAATTGGAAGTTGGGCCATCCGTATTGTTACTGTATGGAACTGCGCTGAGAAATTTTCTGAATTTCAAGGAAAACATCTTTGGTGAAGATCAGATGTTCACAGACTTTAAATTCACACCTAATCAAAATCATGAAACACCCATGGCGACGGGTATTAAGAGCGAAGATAGTTCTGGTAATTTACCGCTGGAATTACGAGACGATTTCGACCATAGGAATTATAGACCTTTGGAAGTTGACGTCTCTGTTATCATGCACGATATACAAGGTCATTTATTGAAGGTAAATTATATATATATATATACCAAAACATATATTATGTTTAATCATGTGTGTTTAGAATTGTACAGAAAAGGACCCATCCTGTCCGGTTATTCTCGTCGAAAGGTTTGGTTTCGAAATGAAGAAACGTTATGATCAAACTGAACTTCAGTTACTTCTGTCGCCTGCGGTTCTTTTAGTGACGGATAATGTCCCGAGAGCTGGGCGCGATAAACATTTAAGCCAAGGAAGATTAACGCTTTCATCTTTACAAATCCGAGGTCACGCGATGTTCTCTGACATTGGTCGGACTTTGGATGAAGACACTATCGAATACTCGTGGCTCGTTGAAATCCAATTGGGAAAGTTAAGTGGACGTCTGACTACTCCGCAATTATACTCGCTCTTAGCTTGTCTCGAAACTTTGATTTTGCTGCTCTCCGATACAGAGAACGAGTTGTACACACCTAAAGTCGATGATTTATTAAGCGAACCTCAAGTTCAACCGAACACCACCAGTCCTTTGCAAAATTTACCTCAGGCTATTCAACAGTTGCTTCAGCCCAAAACTAATCCTGCTCCATCCGTGGTCCCTCCTGTAAATTCCCAGACGACGACTGCGATGAAGAGTATAAAGGTGGAAAAGCAGGAAAAGAAAGTCAGCATTGATGATACGATCGAAGAAATTAACGATAAATCGCACGACTTAAAATACAAGTTTACAAGGCTCACCATTGACGCAATCGATTTGTGGTTGGTCGAGAATGGATCAGCTCTGCAAATGTGGGTATCTCCAATTAGATTATCCACGTGCAATTTGCATGGTAAACAAGTCGGATCTGGGTTGACTTGTGTCATGTACAGCATGGCATTAAGGCACTGCGTGTGGCAACCGCAGAAGTACAACCACTCCAAGACAACCGATCATTCTGATCTTTGGTTGGAAGTAGGTACAATGGATTTCGCACCTTTGGTCATAGAGTCTGCAATGTCAACCGATTGCAAAGACGTAGATGCGCACGCTGTGCAGCAAAAATTCTTGAAAACTCACGACGAAAGATTTAAGAAGCTTTGGTTCTTGTGGCCCGAATCCAACAAATCCTCCATACAATGCGGTTGCACCGGCGGATGTTTATTCTTCGGGAATAATGCTAACGGTAGGAAATTCTTCAAACCTAGTCGGAAAGATTTAGAGGATGGAACGAACATCGCAGCGTTCAAAGTGAACGAGCCAGGACAAGATCCAGGTTACGGGCAAAGTATTTTGCACGAGGGAATGCTGATATTCCGCACACCTCCATACATAGTTAACGAGATTTCGTTGCAAGATCACGGTAAAAATATTAAAGTTCCTGCCAATCGAAGCTCGGATAGTCCGAGGGTCATCTCTTTGAATTACGAGAAGACGGAAACTTGTTCGAGTCCGCATAGTTTGAACGAACGTAAAGTAAGTCGTCGGTATTCTTCGACTTCGATCAGGAGCGGCACCGGCGCTCCTCAATCTCAACAAAAAGACGTACCGTATTCGAGATTGGTGGATCCAGCTGCGCTTCCCATAAAATTGGATAGCGATTCGAAGTTGCACAAAGACAAAGCGAAGTTGAGCGTAAACTCCGAAGACGACGATGAATGCGTACCAAAGAATAGCGCTTCCGATTCCAAATTAGCCGTCGACTATTTCAATAGTCCCAAAAATGTGAGATAAATCAAACATAATTTCTATTTTTATTAAAACATTTCATTTTTAGGAGTGTATTGAAGGATCGGATTCTCATCATTCACTTGGTAGACGTTTATCTGAAGAACAATTGCAAAAAGAAGTAATATTTCACTAATAGTATTTTTTACATACTGTAATTAATATTATATTCTAGGTGCAAAGGACTATTTCAATGTCTAGTGAAAACCATTCCGAAGCATTTTTCTCCGCTGATGAAGATATGCATATAAACTCTAGAAGTTCGAGTCTGAGAAATTCAATGCTAAGTTCTAATGGTACATTAACCCGACAAAATAGTGTTGAAAGCAACACCGGTCGAGTCAAAAAGAAGTTTAGCAGTGAATTGAGTATCGTCGCAGATAAAAATGCTGGTACCATCACTAATGGTGTTTCCAATCAAACGAAAGTATCCTTAGCCAATGGTGGTTCCAAATTGCGGTTATCGAGTCATAGAAGCGATCATGAAATACACACCCCGGAGCATAGGAGTTTCAATACTAAAGTATTTGATTTACATAATTCATCAAATTGCATATATATAATGTTAATTTTGAAATATTATAGGTCGATGAATCAAATAGGGTGGTGCAAGGTTTGGTCACACCTCAAAGGCACGCCGGAAGCTTACGCACAACCTCACCTCGTCTGTCTGTTCGAGAAGCAACGAGGACACCTTCTCCTCACAATTCTACAGGAAACCACGAAGTGGACGTTGATAGTTCCGACAGTTACAGCAGTACGTCTTATGTAAGCGCGATAGGCAGTCAAGAGGATTTTACCTTGGTCGATCTTCACATGCAGGTGAACCGCTTAATTGTCGATTCTCCTATGCTAATGTCCAGCTATGTCAGTCATTTAAACCAGGTAAAATATCATTATATATATATATAATTCTTACAAGGTAAAGTCAACATTTTCATATTAATTTTTAGATGAAATGTTTGAACTGGGGACAGCAAGCTTCAGGGTTTACGGCTCCTCTTTTCGAGAAAGACGAAGCCGATCATTTGGTTTACGTTGGAGGGCGTTTTGTTCCGCAAATGGAAACTGTGTCGGAGGGTGTAACGTCTTTGAAAATGGTGTCAAGATTGGAAAATCCGCCGAAAAGCGGATGGGACACCGAGGAGTGCAACATAGACGTTTCAGATTCTATTCACGAAGAAGAACTTTTAGGTACGCAAACCGATGTCGGTTCGAGAACTTCGCTGATTATAAAGATGAAAGGTGATTTGGATGTAATGATCACCCCGCTCTTATTAGAATCGTTGCAAAGGTTAGTTTATAACGATTCTTATTGTTTATAATTTTATCTTGAATTGTCTTTCATGTTTATATAGATTTATTGATGCCCTGACACCAACTGTAGCTAATTTACATCCATTAACAGTGGTGAATCATTTGCACGCCTGTTGCATTGGCCAAGTGGAAGCTGCGAATGTATTGAAAACCGTTGAAAATGTTGCAACTTTAAGTCAGCCCCAATCTGGCGACGATAAAGTACTTGGGATTTACGAAGAAACTTTAAAAAGTCAACTTCAGGCGGCCATAGTTCTCCCTAAGGTTAACATAACATTGCTTCAAGCTTCTATAGTCGAAGAAATTATAAGTTTCTCGGCTCTGGACAACATCAAAGACTTAACTTGCGTCTCAATGTTCTCCGTTAGTTTCGATAACATCACGACGAAATTCCACCTCGACAGACAAGCAAATGAAGTTTTGCAAAAGTTTTATAGACCTGCTGTAGTTCCCAGCGATGGAAAAAAGGGTAAAAAGCACTTTTTAAGTCTGCACACGACGACGAACGCGGATATCATTCGGGGAGAACCGGTGTACGTGCAGAGCTGCGAGAAGCAGCAGCAGCAGTTGGTGGTTTCTTTGAATATAGGAAAGATTCACACTCAACTTAGGCGATTGAAAAACGAAAGCAGCATTTTGGAAGATGCGGTGATTACGGCGATCCCGGCAAATTCCTCGAAGGTTCTATTCACCTGTTTGAAATTGAGGCCGCAACATCGAGCTGTGGATTACTACATGATGCCTGAAGTTAGTCAGCAAGTGCAAGAGGCCGAGGATGAAGATCGTCTTGGATTCATCATGTTTGAGTGTGGATTGGAAGGCGTTTCATTGAAGATCGTGAAGAAGTCTTGCGAGGAACAATCTGATGGTGATAAGGATGAAGACGAGGCGAAGGAAGAAGGTGATGGGGATAAAGCAACTCCGAAAGTAGGTAAAAAGAAGACTGGACCTAAAGACGATGGGGAATTGGTTGCGACTACTAAAGACAGCGGAAACGTATCGAGCTGTATCATCGAGTTCAAAATGGTTTGGTTTAATTTTGCTGCTCCGCCCAAGACACCTATCACCAGGAAAATAGATTATACAAGGTAATAAGATTGATTTTATGAGTTATTTATGTAATTCATATTTTTCGAATTCAGATTGGATTGGAATTTGCTTTCAACCGCTTCTCCGGCTATCAACGCCTGGATGAATCCTAGCAATAGATTAGCGATTCGGGTCGTGCATATGGTTAGATCCATGTATCGAAGAAGTACAGCAACTGTTGCTTGTTTAATGACGGAGGCTTTAGAACTTCCCTCACTACATATGACAACCAAGGTATATTATTAATCGATAATTGGACTATTTGAATTATGGACAAATTTTATTGCAGAGCCGTTACGGTAAATTAACACCACTGTCGAAGACTCTTCACGAAGATCCAAGCTGCAGGTTGTGCACTATCTTGCATAACTACTATCTCCAGGCGGACCCGGGAAGCATAGAGAGCAACTTAAGAGAATCAGATCTTCCGCAACTGTTCACGCTACGACAGGTTTGTATAATTATTATGAATTATGGAAAGAATGTTATTAGCGTTTCTTAATTTCAGGGAGTTGTTGCGTTAAGTCGACAATGGAAGAGCCAATTGCACACTCCTCTGATGAATCAGTACGACACGAAATCGAAGGTGAAGCCGCTGAATTTGATGTTCTCGATACCCACCGTCGAGGAGGTAATGCTTTTAGACATCTAGTTTATCCGCCAATTTAGATACCGTTATTTTATACATGACAATTGAAACGATAATTTATAGGTAAAGCATCTGCATTTGCCCCATGTCTCAGTGACTATAGATGATTATAGTAAGACAGTTACAGATTTGATTATTCTCACTTCTTCCCTTCAGCCAATCAGCGACGGTCAATAACAAGAACAGAACATATCTCATGTTGTTACGCTTGTTGTTTCATTTCGAATCAATCGAAACTATTAATCACTTCTTACTGTGTCTTTTTTTTATAATTATTTTCAATAACTAAACAGAGACGGAAATGTGTGTACTAAAGAATACGCAACATCTATTCTTATAATAGCTTTACTCTTTTCCTCTCTTTCTCACTCACTCTTTATGCTTATGTGTGTATGAATGTGAATTGGTGCAGGTTTATCTTACTGACGGTGAGGGGAGCGGAAACGAGGATCACGATATCACTGATGAACACGCACAGTTGCTACATTCCGGCATCATTCTAAAACCGCAAAAGCCCATTGGTACGTCTTCAACTATTACTAATCTCTATGTTTGTTATCTCGTTTAGTGTAAGACTGTTTCAGCTTTATTCGTGCTTTATGTTTCGTTTTTTTCTTCTATTTTTCCTTACATATTTTTTTCGAATAGTTATAATATATTTGAGTTTTGTTAGGTAAAGATGGTAATTTGAACTCGCCGAAGAATGCTGTTAATCAAGAGGCGGTCCCGGTTTATGACAATGCTGGTCTATTGTCTCCGCCCTCGAACACGATGCCAGTTTATGATAGCGGTTTGGTATCTCCGAGCGCGCCTGGTAAGTCTACTGCTTTTATTAGTAGTCTTGCAATCTGCTTGCAACTACTTGCTTTGCTTTGCTATTTTATAGTGGTTACGGTTTCGGGAATAGCAAACGCCGCCGCAGCTAAAAGACGCAAGAAGAGCTTACAGCCCAGCCAAGTACCGCCCAGTAGCAGGGCCAGTGTTGTACTCCCGCTCCTTACCAATCCAAATATTTTCATGCCCAAAAAAACTACAGATGACGCGTATTGTGAGAAGTGTAACTGATTTTATAGGATGTCTTTGCTAATATTCAAATGTGTTCTAGGCTATGGCACTTTAAGAGAAGATCGTGCAGGCCCGACGACGGCTGGAAATTTGGGATCTGATCCCAGTGTCACTACTCATTCCAGTCCAGACTTACCTTCAAGTCCTTTGCACGACAGAAATGAAGATTTATATTCTTGGATGGCACGGCAAAATGACGAAGGATTCCTTAAAGGTAATGTATTCATATTTTATTTGTCTGTAGATCAAATGAATACGTGAAAAGATGAAGAAATATTAGTATTGTTGATAGACTGATATTTTTATATATAAAAATTCAAAAGTATTACGTTGTTTTATATTTTAGGATGTATGGAATCAAAAATCAATACGTTACAAACGGATTCTACTGATGATGACAACTTGAATCGCGGAGACACACTAGGAATGGCACCATCATTGAACGCAGGAGGTGTGAATCTTTATGCCATTCAAGATTCTGTTCGTTTTGAAGATGCAAATATCATTTTTCAACCGTTACTATCAAGCTTAGGTGTGATGCCACAGCAATTAAAACTGACTTCATTAAACGAATCTGGTATGTAATTAAAAAGTCTATTAATATGATTATATTATTTGTTTCTTTATTTTTCTTTTTAGGTAACAGTAATGATGTTACATCCTTGGATGCGCTCGGATCTAATCTGTCTTTGGTGGGCAACATGGAGACCATGAGGATTGATATTGTTGTGTCCGAGCATGGAAAAACCGATAAAAGAAAAGGTTCTACAATTCCGCAGATGAATAAAAGCGGAAGCAAGTGTAAGCCCGGATCTTCAACAAGATTGATATTCGAAGACGAATGCCCCGCTTTCGTTTGCGAGAAAATTTCCGTTGAGCTGGAAGTTGATAGAATGACCGATATGGCTGTTAACGATATGATCAAAACTAGAAACGTTCTTTATATTTCTCGGGGACAACTGAAAAATCACACAAGCACCGTCATTAATTTTAATATCGGTAAATATTAAAATTTGAACATATCAAATAATATATTAGAAATTTAATGATTGTTTACAGGTGTTCGTTATATTTCTCAAAGAGTGAATATGCCATTGTTGCGATTGTTGCATCAAATCAGTAACATGTATCAAAATGTTAAAGACACGCAGAACGAGTTACGAGAGCAACAGCCAGTGGAGATCAGGCGACCCAAAACTAGTGCAAGTGATCACGTTGATATAAAAAACCATTCTTCAGGTAACGAAAATGATTTTTAACGTACAATAATTAATATTTATTTGACGAACAGTTTCAGATTTGCACGATGGAACTAATCTTAAATTAAGTTTGAAGATTTCCGATCCTGGTTCTGATGTTGGATCGGTGGTCCATCAAAATAAACCAGTAATTTCACCATCTCCAAGTGTTCGCTCTAGGCCGCAAAGTTTTGCACAAAAGCTACGTTCGACTGGTAAAAGTGTCAAAGGTTACGTGAATTTAAGCGAAGGCGTCGGTACCCCTGTCACTTTAAGTTCACCATCTGGTTCAGCTATTGAAAACATCACCAATGTCACTCTATCTTCGGATAAGAGTGTAACTGTTGGACGCTGCTGGAAGACCATGTATCACGTTCTTGATCTTTACGCCAATATGCCGGATCATAAAACCATTAAACATAGATTCTCTGTGGCTCAGGATATTTGGGAATACAAATCTTCAAATCGAAAATATGATCAACTAAATGAAGTTAAGTCTACCGATGAATTGGATGCTTCGGAGCACAAAAGATACACGCCGATCCTGCAACGTGAGGTTAGCAACGTTTCTGAACAACAGCATACTAAACTCGTTGTGTTCGGAGTGGCTCGAATCCATAGAACCAAGTTATTGGCGACTTTAAGTGTTTTGAAACTGGAAGCTGAAATCACCAGTCTTCACGCTAGCCTTACTTGTAGAAAGAAATCGTCTCCGGCTTCGTTAGAATGCTCCCTCACAGGACAAGTGGGACGTACCATGATCGTTTTATTAGAGGGTGTAGCCCCTAATCAACAGTACGTTTTGTTTAAAGTTTCAATTGAATTTATTTAATGTTATTGTTTTTTTAGAACTGTGGTTAAAGTAACAGTGGGAAAATCACAAGCACTTTACTCTAGTGTTAGCAAACGAGGGAAGGATAAGAATTCCGGATTGTTAACTGTTGGTGCTGTTAATATCGATATTCCGCAACATCCGGTCGCTCTGCATGGAATGGTGACTAGAGGTAGTAAGCAATTAAGTTCAACTCTTCAAGAGTTGCGAGTCACGCGCACTTCCAGTCGCTTGTCGCGACCAGGAAATTTCGCAGAAGAAGATCATCACAGTGCTCCTCAACAGCAACAGCAAGCATCGCCCAAGAACCAAACACGTGCAAATCATATGCATTTACCTGCTTCATTTGGTAGAAATAATCCCCCAGACAAAAGTCTATTGCAACCTTTGGTCATGCAATTCAGTGTAATATTACAGAGTTTGAGCATAAACGCAGCTCTTCTGCCTAGTTTGCAAGCGCAGTACAAAATGGATCAGGTGACTTCGACGGGAGTGACCGGAAGTAAAGCAAAGTTTACCATTGATTTACCGCAACATAGTTTGAGCTTTACCACGAAGTTGCAAGTATCCGAAGCGAATCTTCCATCGGAAGCCAGTATTTCTTTACCAGCAGTTCACGTGTCCGCTGAGTATATACCAGAGGGCGTTGCTAACGTGTTACCGGGTGGAATCGAGGGCGTGGTTTTCAAACAGGGCGGTTACCTTAACGCCCAAGCGGATATAGGCGTATTCGAGCACAGCTTAACCACAGATTTATTGAACCATTTGGTGTTTGTTCAAAAGGTATTCATGAAAGAAGTAAACGAAGTCGTGCAGAAAGTGTACGGAGGCGAAAGACCCGTTGCCATTTGGTTGGAGGATTCGGACGAAGCTTCGAACCGTATTCTATTCTCTTTAGTAATTCAGATGCAACGAATCCAATTAACAGCTACCACCGCCGGTAGTTCAGCCGTTCGAATGGAAACTGGTGCAGTCGTATTGGAATTATCCAATCGCGTACAAAACGTATCTGCGCAGTCTGCTTCTGCGGGTGGAGGAAAAAAATTATCAGGAGCGTCTCCATCTCGCCTCTTTGGAAAGGCCCAAGTCGATTTGAATTTATCGCTTGGTCAGCTTATACGCAACGCTCTTTTCGAGGAAGCCGAAGCTGAATTTCAACAGTTCGCTTTCTTCAATACGCGAATTGGGTTACGTAACGCTTTCCAAGACGAAGTTGTCGATGGCGAAGACAAAGAAGTCGTCCTCATCACGTTGAAGAGGCCTTTGATTTACATCCAACCGGTTGCTGTCGATAAGGCCATTCTTGTTTGGCTCAACTACAAGAATGCATACGATTATTGGAACGAAAAACGGGCGAATTTAAACAAAGAAGTCTTAACAGCCACGCAACAAGTAAATAATTAAAACCATCTATAATTTAAGTAGATTACCATTTATTGTTTGCTTCAGGTATATGAGAAATTTCAATTCGGTCAATTGACCAGTCAATTGGGAAATCCGCATTTGGGGATGCTGTTCTTGCAACTCACTGTGGAAGACATGGGTATTTGTTTGCCGTTAAATCCTCTTCCTTTGACCTCTTGGGGTCAACGGGGCTTATATGAAGAAAGTCGAGGAGCTGTAGTTATTACGCTTGAAAATACTAGTATATCTGGTGAGTACCTCCATAAAGTGTATATAATTTCTGTTAGCTAATGAAGATTAATAGCTTGCAGTTCTGGATCATTGGTGAGTAAAGGAAAGTTCTCAAATCTTTGTCTAAGATTTGCGGATGACTTTGAAACGTCTTTAGACGACTGGAAACCTGATATGTCTGATGCTACCATCATGAATTTATGCGTCGTGAGCGATGGTACTTACGAAGTTTGCAGCAGAACCATAGCTGCAAAACAACACGAAAATGCCAAGTGGTTCCTGAACGTTCAATGGCAAATGGAAGGTGTTGATATCCATTTGGATACGAATGTTGGAAAGCAGTTGTCCGCTTTAGGACACACTTTAACTATGCTCACAGGAGCCGAAGATACTCCTCTAAATATAGATTACGATAGTGATGATAATGAGCCTTTGGATCGATCTTCGCAAGAGAGCATTTTACCATCAATCCTATTCGATGCTAACATTGACACCAAAATCCGATCCAAGATGTTGGAGAATTTAATGAACGAGCAAGCGAAGATTATCAACGATTTACGCTCGTTAGGAGCTAGTCATGGAACAATCGAAATGGAGCTAAAGAAGTTTCACAAACTTGAGAATATGGTCTACAAAGATTTCAGAATGTAAATTAATTATTAGTTCTGAATGTATTTCAATAATTGATCATATATTTTTTTTTTAGGGATATGATTCAGAAGCTACGAAGACAGAGCGTAAAGCCGTCAGGAATGAAGGGTAAATTGGGTATGAAGGCACCACCTCCTCCTCCTCCGCCGCCGAGCGCCTCATATCGTTCGAAGTCTTTTGTTCTATCCCAAGACACGCCCAGTCCGGATGCCGGAAGTAATTTGAGTCCGAATTCCGGAAGCTTCGATAGCTCTCCGAGATCAGGACCATCTCGATCCGCTTCATTGCGAGTGAGATCCGATCATCCGCATGTAACTTTTTCTGATGCTCAATCGATCGAACGTCAGTACTCTTTACCAAGCGCTTCTTCGGATCTTTCTCTGCCGGATTCTGCCGATTGGCCTGGATCCCATCATATCGATATCGACGGTGAACAAGTTCCGTTACGTAAAAAACCTTCATCGTATGAATTTTGCGAAGGAGCCAATCTGATGGATTCCTTTGCTAGGGATCAACTACATTCTTCGAATCCCTATCAGAGCACCGGAAGCAACACGCAAACAGGAAACATGCAGCAGAAATCTCAAGAACCTAACATTGATTTGGAGCTGGACGTGAAGGTTTTTATTAATAGCGGGAAATGCGTACTGCATACGAAAGATACTGCAAGAGATGAGGAAATTAAGTTGCGGACTATGAGGAAAGATCGCAGCTGCAGTTCAGCCGGTTTACTAGATTTCACACCTACTTCTACTGGAAGTCCGGACCCTTCGAGACGTAATAAGGATAGTAAATTTATGGGTCAAACTAGCAGCACTCGACTGAGAAATACTCCTCATGTGACATTGGTGGATTTAACTATTTTCCATATTCCTGGTATGGACGTGAAGCTGCTGTATCAATCGAAAGTGATTGCCAAAGATACAATAATCGAGGAAGAGACTCCTCGTTATAGTGATAATATATTTGATAGTTTCTCGATGGGTACTTCAACGTGCTCCACGCCTGCAGCCACCAAAGAGCAGGAATCGTCTAGAATTGATCGTGCCTTCAAACGACAAGATTCGTTGATCGTACAACCTACGGACGCTGCAAACTTTACAAACGATTTCAATCAATCCAGAAGAAATTCCGTGCATGGAATTAGCAATCCGAATTACACTCCGACATCGAGTCGAGAGGATAGTTTGGACACGTTCCCGTTCCAATTAAGTTTAACTCCATCGCCATTATCAAACCATGTGCCTCTACCGCAAACCCAGTATAGAAAACCTCCAACTGGTATTAAAAAGGCTTCCCTGTTTGCTTGGATGACATTGCAAAGTGTCCCTGAGGAAACCATTATAAGCCCGCATATTTTGGAGTTCTTGGAGCAAACTTTGGAACCCATTCCTGCAAAAACTAACTTCAACCAAACACGTAAGTTAACATGTCATTTGTGTTATTATATAATCTATAATCATTGAACAGCAGGTACATCGATATTATCAGATGATCAAGACGGGACAAATTACGGAAATTACGTTTACGCCAGTTTCCCTGTAGACGTTATCGTGTACTTCCACATGCAACCCAGCACCTTCAGGTTTAGTTGTCTCCCAGTGTCTAGAGTGGAATGCATGTTGCAATTGCCATCTCTCGATATCGTGTTCAGTTCAAAACGAGCAGAAGACGAACTGCTTCACAGGTTTGCTTTATTGAAACTTTCATAATTATTTGTAATTTAATATTCTATTTTTTCTTTTAACGTAACAGTGAATTTGGAGATGGGACTCCAAATACTGCTGCAACGGCAGTGGGAGGATTGAGTGTAACCGGTTGCTTATCAGACTTTTCCGTGTACATCTTCCATCCGTACGGCGGGAAAAAGTCTGCTTTAAAAGAAGCCCAATGGTCTCCTCTCTCCGATTCGGAACGGAAGGATTCGTTATCGATTAACGTCGAATTTGTTAAATTCCATTTATCGCGTTCTCGAATGCTGAATTTTAATCAGGAACTAAACACTAAAAGCGGAAAATCTTCGGACCAAGGTCGTAACGTCATCCGGTTCTCCACTATAACAGACATTGGTTCCGCTTCGTTCAAGTACGATATGCGAAGACTTACGGAGATACTAGCTTTCCCTAAAGCTTGGTACAGACGATCCATTGTTCGAAGAATGTTCTTGGGTGATCTAAGTATGTCGGTCTCGCATCACGACGATGATGATTTGACGTTACCGTCAAAAAGTTCACCCAAAGTATCCTCATCTCATAGGCCTCGCGGAGCCGAAAAGTCTCCACTATCGAAAGATAAACTTAAATTGGCGTTAGATGGTCAACAGGAATCGAGGCACAAATTAAGAGATGCGGGAAGAACGACGAGTCTTGAATCGCGAAATGCAGAATCCAATACGATTGGCTCATCGACACCGAGTCCTTCCGAACACAAAGCTACAACTGCTTGGGAGACTCTGGTGTTGTTTGCTGTTAATTTCAAGAAACTCAACGTTCACATGAATATGGGCAACGTTATGGGAAATGTTTCGTACGTTAATTTAAAGTACGTTGGAATTGTTAAATTTTATACGAGATTTTGTTTTCAGATGGTTGACCAAAGAATTTAGAAGCGAAGGTCGATTGAGTATTGGCTCGACGGGTCATAAGAATTTGTATATCGCCGTAGGATTGGGCGGTTCCGGGCTGGATGCTAAAGGTGGCATTGTGGGAGGTAACATAGAGATAGCCAATATCGACACTTACATTCATATAAGGGAGGAGCCAAACGTGGAACCGGATCATACCGTTGGTCTGAGGTTGCGAGCTCTTGAGCTTCGACTCGATTATATGGCGACTTCGGTATTGATGTGCAGAGTAAGCGATTTGAAAGTGAAAATGCGTGACGAGTGGCTTTTGAATAGAACTCTTCCTCACACCGCATCGCTACCAACTAGAAGGTGATAGTTCTTCATTTATCTTTTATGTACATATCTAATACACATATTTCAGACCTGCGAGTATCTTCATGTACGGTGATTTGAGCTGGGATCAGCTACAAATCATGATGTCCAAATCATCAACTGCCGATCTTTTAAAAATGTTTAACAAATTGGAAGAGTTCTTCTCGCAACAGTTTAATAGCAGCAAACGTGCGTTCAGTGGTTTCTCTTCGCAAGGTCGTCCACCTAAAGTAACACCACAAAGAAGTAATACTTGTACATATTATATTTGATTTTGGAAAATAACTATACTATTTCGAAGGTCGTGATGGAAGTGGATCTAGTCAATCTCAGCAGCAAACCCAACAACAGCCACAAACGAATCAACAACAATCTGCAGCCGGACCTTCGATAGCAACTGCAGATGCTCGTCATCATAGACATTGGCAGAGAGTTTTGGCGCATGTCGCCGGATTACGCTTAAGTACAATGCATGTACCTTTGCCAGATTACGGCACCGTTTTGGGAGGCACCATGCAGCTTCACGGAAAAAATATTTCTTTGGCTTGCTTCCATGGCATCAACTTCAAGAGCAAATCTTGGGCTCTCTTCAGTTTACGGGAGCCTTGCATTAATTTTAACACGGAGGCCCAAGAAGTACCTTCAGGAACAGCTTCATTCCCAGCGCAAGATGTACACGTGGTTCAAACCTTGACGTGCTCTTTAGGTTTGAGCACCTACAAAAACCAGTTACCATCGATGGCCACAGTTTACAAGGTTTCTCGTACTGTTATATTCCCACCGCAGTTTAAGACACTTCAAGAATGGTTCCATTATGCATTTGCAAATAGTCATATAGATGGTAAGTTTATATAATAAACATGTTAACAGCTGCAATCCTTATGACTCTGTTTTAATTATAGAGGTTGATCGATTCCCGTCTTTGGAAAGGGAGAAGGATGGAAGTATGGAGAGAAGTGGACGAGGAAGCACGAGCACAACCACCAAGCTTACCGATCCGCAACATAATCGTGAAGTAATATTCGCACTTCCTAGTTTACAGTTGCACCTGAAAACTGAACATTGGCAAACATGCAACACTCCTGATTTACAAGGTAATAATTCATATTTAAAACAATATTGAATTAGATGTTATATTATATGTTTTGTAGAAGAAAAACCGACAGTTGAATGCAGTTTCATTACGGAGTTCGAGGATCACATTTTCGTGACGGTCGACGCAGAGGCTTTCTTCTTCCTGCACGATCTGATCACGAGTTACGTGAAGGAAAAGGATAAATTGGTTGGTGTTGTCACTTCACGAAGCAGTATATATTTTAATGAAATATGTATTTAACAGCAATTTAGCAGCAGTTCACGGTTCTCCGACATCTCCACGAAGAAACCCATAGAGGTGGATATCTTCACGAAGGATTGGAGAAACTACCATTGCAAAACTTGGCATCTCGAGCCTACAGTACGATTGTTGAGCGTCGCAGGAAAATACATTGAACCGTACGGCATCGATTACATCCTGCAGAAACTGGGCTTCTCGCACGCCCGAACCACTATACCAAAATGGATGCAGCGCGGCTTCATGGATCCGTTGGATGCGATTCTCGCGGTTCTAACATTACAAATGGTGCAGGTGGTGAAAGGAGATGGAAATAGGGAATCAAAGAAAGGCGGTTGATCAAATACATTCCAGTACTAGGTTTACTAATTTTTCATTTGTGATATTGTGTAACCCGCTTTCTTAAGAAAAAAAAAATCGTTAGGAGTAGATTTAAGACTATGAATGAAAATGTAGATTCTTATGTGATAAATAATTTTATATTTTGTTCACTGTAAAACAGATACTACATTAATTTGTATATTTTTAAAACGTATTTTAGACTGGCTTCAGAAAGAAAGTATGAGATAATTTAATTGAGTAGTCATGACAAACGGTGTTCGGCCTTATCCAACCTTAGTTCATCTACGTTTAAACGCATTACAAGGTTTAATTAAAAAAAAAGAAATACATGTTGAAATCAGTAAATTTCAAGAACACAAATCGTGTAATTGCAAAATAGATTTATTATATTAATTATAAATAAATCTATATGAGCTGATTTAAAAGTATATTTGTTATTTCAATTTTCCTATGTAAATTAATGTAATAGAACATAAATCTATTAAAAATGCGCTAAGATGTAAAATATAGCACAGAGCAATAATTAGAAATAAAGCATTTATTTCCAAAATCTCTCAACAATCATTCCTTAGGTCTGAAAGTGTTTTCTTCAATTTAACATTGAAATTCAGTTTTTAACTTTTCCTTTTTATTATTTTCTCTTTATATCAACAAATGTACAATTTAAATATTCCTACATTCTGAATACTTTAAATCAATTTAACGGTACAAGTGATCCGCATGGATGTTGCTAGCGATTTCGGATTCCCATTTGTCGCCGTTGTTCAACAATTTTTCCTTGTTGTAAAGCAATTCCTCGTGGGTTTCAGTTGAAAATTCGAAGTTTGGTCCTTCGACAATGGCGTCAACGGGACAGGCTTCTTGACAGAACCCGCAGTAAATACATTTGGTCATATCGATATCGTATCTCGTGGTACGCCTTGAACCATCAGCGCGTTCCTCAGCTTCAATCGTGATAGCCTTAAATGAGATGCATCATCAAAGCTGATCATGTGTAAGGCTATAAGAATGTTACCTGCGCTGGGCAAATGGCTTCACACAATTTGCAAGCAATGCAACGTTCCTCACCAGATGGGTAACGCCTAAGAGCATGCTCTCCTCTGAACCTGGGGCTCAAAGGTCCCTTCTCAAAAGGATAATTGATGGTCGCTGGTTCTTTGAAGATGTGCGCCAGAGTTACACCGAAACCTCTGACAAGTTCAGTCCAGAACAATGTTTGCGCAGCCCTGTCTGTGATTGCATTCATATCCATGCTGGGTTCTTTGTCGTTAACGTAAACGTATCCAGGGGTGGCGCTTGGACCACTCGCTGTGGCCTTTTGCATCGCTCCTGCAGAAACACTGAAAGGCCGAACGAAATGAGAGCCTAAAATACATTTGCAGGTTATATT